TCGTGCTTTCTTTCTCGTAGTGCGGTTACCATGGTCTGACCCTTAGTCAATCGTGCTTTCTTTCTCGTAGTGCGGTTACCACGGTCTGACCCTTGGTCGTGCTTTCTGTCTCAGGTACGGACACCACGGTGACTGACCTTCCTCTCAGTGGCTTCGTTCCAACTGCAGAGAACATGCAGGCAGCTCCCCAGGGCTCGGTGAGGAACTTCTCTAGTCTGCACTGGCTCGGCTCGTCAGTGGGCCTCAGAAGGGGTGATCAGCCAATCCTATAAGGACCTGAAGTGTTGGAGGTTTAAGTACTTCCATTGCAGGTTAAATTCTGAGTTGCTCAGGGTCCCAGAATAAGTCCGTAACTTCCCAACAAAAATGAGAGGTTTCTATTTAAAATTTAAAAATGGGAAATGAGTTTTTTCAGGAGTAATTTGTATTTGCTCCAGAGATGCACCAAAAATCCCTCCACCCGTTTTCTAATCTGCTCTTATCCTGTATGGGGTGCAGGGCAGCAAAAGACTATCTTGGCAAGCAATGGGCCAATGTCGGGAGCACCCAGAGGAAACCCATGCAAACCTAGGGAGAACATACAAGCTCCACACAGACAGCACCCCAGGTCCCGAATTGAACCCAGGGCCCCAGAGCTTTGAGGCAGATGTGCTAATCACAACCTTTCACAACCATCATTATTTACTAAAACTGTAATTGATGGGCAGACTGCTCTGTTATGCATATTAAATGTGCTGACAGTGATAGCAGAGGTCTTTCAAGAAATATGATCCATTTACATGGAGTGGAATCCATCTTTTCTCACTGCTATTTTATGACTGATACAAGTTTTAGATGTATAAAAGCAGGGACGACCCCATCCTAATTAGAAACTGATTATAATTTGGGAGAAATTGTAAAAAAGTAAGGTAATTTGAAAGTGTTTTAGATTGAAATTTGAAAGTTTCTAAACTTTGTAAGACTGGAGGCTTCCCCACTAATTGAAACCAATCTAAACTGTTCACCATAAAGGTCTGTGCATCCTGTGGTGATGGACCATTGATAAACATACTGTATGCTGGCTGAATGTATCATTAGAAATAGGTGAAGATGCCAAATATAAATGTTCAACCTATGCTTTTGCAGCATTCTTCCCTTGAAAGTTGTTGAATTTGTTCCACTTCTTGATGAAATGACTTCTTTGGGTTTTCTAAAATTGGCCATACTGAATACTGATCCCTCTCGTGACCCGGAAATGACCCCTAGTAACACTCGTGACACTTCCTTGTTGTTGAATGCCCTTCTTTCCAACTCGCACGGGGCCTAATGCTGATCCTCCCTCCCTGTAGGTGGCGCAGTGTCAGCTGGTCTCAGACCTGGCTGGCATGGTGAATAACCCCCAGCTCAGTGATGTGCAGTTCCAGACGGACTCTGGAGATGTGCTTTTCGCTCACTCCTTCATGCTGTATGCACGCTGCCCCCTACTGGTCCAACTGGTAACGTCAGCTTTAACTTTTTAATTGGTCTTCGTTGTGCCATTGAGTCAGCGTGTTCGCAAGCACTCTGAGCAGCATGGTGAACTTCACTCGACCTATGTTAATAATAGTAACAGTTAGATACGAAAGGAGCAGTTTATTTTAAGTTTAGTTTCAGTTTTTTGTATTTCATTACATAGAAGGTTTTCTGTGCAGTTTTTAAGAGTACGTGTGTTGCGTAGAGCTTTCACATGCTGCTGCCCGGACTCCTCCAGTCCATGAGTCCGCGTGTCCCTGCCTGACTGAAGGGCTCCTGTTTGTTCACCCGAAGGTCCACGACGAGGGTTTTTCTGTGGAGGAGGAGGCCATGCCCCCTGCCAGGCGCGTGCTGCTGGGCGAGGTGCCGCCCGAGGCCGCCCGCCTGCTGCTGCAGTACCTCTACACCGCCCGCTGTGCCCTCTCGCCCGCGCTGGCACCCCCACTGCAGGACCTGGCCGCCAGGTGAGCTCGCCCAGCTGCACGTCACGAGGCTTCCCCTGCCGGGTGCTTCCTGGGCACTGGGCACTGAGCACTGAGCACTGAGCACTGAGCACTGAGCACTGAGCACTGAGCACTGAGCACTGGGCACTGGGCACTGGGCACTGGGCACTGGGCACTGGGCACTGGGCACTGGGCACTGATGGTAGCAGTTCTTAATAGACTTTCTCTTGGACTCAAAACCCAGGAGCATGGCAGGGTAATTGAGTGAGCCAGCCAGGCAGAAACGTGCTTTTCCGTCTCTTTGCCCCAGGTTTGGCCTGAAGGAGCTGGAGGAGCTGTGCCGAGATGCAGCCGCGAGCGGAGGGGCCGGAGAAGAGGTGGAGGCCCGGCTGGACTCTGAGGAAGAGTGTAGCAACGGCGATCGCAATTTCCAGGAGCTGCTGCGCTCCATGTGGGTGGAGGAGGAGGAGGATGGGCAAGGCCTGGGGAGGCGCGAGGAAGGTCCAGCTGAGGGTTTTGGCTTGCAGCCCGAGACCCGAGCAGCGGGAGACGAGGACCCAGACAACGAGAGGGTGGGTGAGGAGGAGCTGGAGGAGATCTATGAGTTTGCTGCCACCCAGGGGAGGACAGTGGGCAGGTCGGAGGGGGAGAGTGAAGAGGAGGAGGAAGATGAAGAATGCCTGAACACTGGAAGTGAAGATGCATGGAAGGACCGGAGAAAGGAAGAAGAGTGCGTGCTGAGGACAGGGTGTCCGTTTTCACCTCAGAGAGACAGAGGCCACTTGAGTACTCCGCCGGGAGCAGGAGGGTGTGAATCTAAGCAAAGCCAGGTCATCCATCCCTCGAATGGCTCAGACCTGGGCAGCAGCGTTTCCCAGACACGGCGTCGAGAGGGAGCAGGTGAATTTGAAAGCAGTCGTGGAAACATGGACAAGGGAAATTCAGTAACCGCTCCTGTCCCGGTATATCACGAGAAAGGCAGAGCAGCCTTGGACACCTCAGGTGCATCCGTTCCGGGTCGCGATTGTGAAAAGAGTTTGGATAAGAGCTACGACAGGATCTTCTCCGAGTCCTGGGGTGATTATGTGGAGCCCTCTCAAGAAGACAGGCGGCACACACAGGAAACTGGGGCTGGGGAGGCTGTGGAAGAGCACCCTACCTCAAGGCCAAATCTGGAAATCTGTGAAACGGCAAGCAGAGAAGATCTTGATCCTCCATCCGACAGCGAGTCTTCAGTCATCGACCTGTCTGTCAGCCCTGCCCAGAAGCCAGGAGATGCCTCCTCTTTCCCCTTTGTGGGCTCCTCTCCTATTTCACCTCTCGAGAAATTCTCAGGAGCACGAAATGCAACGTTAGTGGACTGTGGAAGAACGTCGTCCAAAGGGTCCATCTTAACTAATAATCTTGGAATCTGTCAGAATCATCCTGGCGACCACTTGAGTGAGGTCAGTCGCCAGCCCGATGGGACAGGTAGGACGTCTGTCTCCTCCAGTAAGGAGAGCAGCACCCCAAGGAAGACAAGTCAAGGACCAACTTGTACCTTTTCCCAAAGGGACTCATCTGCTTCCAAACCAGTGGACATTATTGTCCTGCTGGATTCTGATGAAGAAATGGAGTTTGACCCAGGAAGGGAAGCAACCACATCTTCCAGAAAAGAAATCAAGACCTCAGAGGGGGAGGCGACTGCTCACGAGACATCAAGTTTGTATTTGAATCACCTGAAAGAGGAGGGCGAAAAGCTTTTGGAGAAATCACCCGAAAATCCAATAAGACCAGAGAGGGAAGGTGATTTCCAGCTGTCGCCTGAGGTTTCCTCCCCAGACCCGAACATACCTGTGGAAACCTCCCTGGAGTCCTGTAGATTGAGCCTTCAACTGAGTAGTGAGAGTGATCTTGGCCATGAAGATAGCACCAGCATGGAGACCTCCTGGATGATCCCTGGCACTCCTGTACTTCCTGTCAGAACGAGGCATGAGTCCACGCAGACCCCCAGCACAATGGGAGTGCAAGCCATCAGGCGGACCAATCTGTTTCGCAAGTCCTCTAGGAACGAGCCTGGTTTGTTCAGCAGTGGCAGCTTGGCTGGATCCAGGGAAAAGTCCTCTCGCGTCGACTGCTCAGAGACCACAGGCCTTTCTAAATCTACCAGCAATCTAACCTCTGCTCCTGCAGAGATGCACCAGCCAGGCAGGAGACGGCACAGTTCAGCAGAGTCGCCAACACTCAGTGAGAGCAAAGGCAGCTTCCAGGCTGTGAAATCCATTTCGAGGAGCCAGATTTCTCCACAGGAACCCAGCAGTGCTGAAACTGACAGCACAGTTTCTAGAAGTCCCAGCCGGCTGTCGCTGTCCACTGTTGCTCTTTGCCAGAGCCAACTGCCAAGCCTTACTTCACCTCCCAGCAAGGACTTCATCTTAAAAAAGAGCTCGTCTGCCCCTCCAGCCGATGAAAGCCATGGGTCAGCACGTTCTCAAAGCTCCCCTGAGACTCTGTCACTTATCAGGACAAGGCGCCGTTCATCTACTGACGGTGATGTAAGCTGTAAGAGTTCTGAACACTCAGAATCGTGCTCCATGGGTTCACCGAGTTCTCTGGATGTCAGTGAAAGCGACCGGATTCAGGGATCCGGCCATAGTAGTAGAATCTCCAAAGGAAGGGGTAGAGAAGTTAAAATCACTCAAAGCACTGGTTCACTAAAGCTCTCCTCATTGAAGTACAGCCCTGAAAGGAAAAGCTTTGAATCTCAGTCCAATTCTTCAACAAAAATGGCAGAGCCTGGTGTGAACCGGGGCTGTGAGAACTCTGCTGGGGCTCTCTTGCAATCTGAGAGTGATCCGCAGGCGTTGGCCAGCAGGCGGTCCCCCGCCACAGCAGTGTTTGAGGTAGAGGAGAGCGACGAAGATGGGCACAGCCCTCCTCGGCCTGACCACAGCTTCTGTCTGGATGAGGAGCCCCCCCTGCCCTTCGAGATGAGCTGGAGTGCGCCCAGGAGCAGTGAGTTCGTGCGTTCAAGCCCCTTGGGGACCATCAGGGATGCAGTCTCTCCGGAGAAATCCCCTCCTTCTTCCCAGCCTAATCCCACCCAGCAGCCCCAGGCGGTGGTGTCCATGGAGGACCACCCCAGCCTACTGGACTCGAAGATCTGGGATGTCTGGGAGCAAGAGGAGGAGGAGGAAGACATCCTGCCTCTTTCACAAAGGGTGCCTTCCATCGCCCTCTCCCAGAGAGTGAAGGAGCTCAAAACTCCAGGTACGTTTCCCCCGGTAGGGCATGAAACCTCAATCAAATATTCCGACCTCAGTTTCGTTCATCTGCGGGGCTTGAGCACACCTGTTTAATTGAATGGCGATGAATTATGTTCCCTCCCTGTATGGGACCTGTACAGTGTTGGCGTCAGGCTTGCTGCCCAAATTTCATTCCCTGCCCTAAGTCTGCGCCTGCTGCAGCACCTTCACTAGCCCCTGTTGCTACGGGTTTACAGACGAATGACAGCATCTGCATCTGCAGGCGTCCAACCTGTGACCTTGAAGTGCCCTGAATTGTACTGGTGTAACTGGGATCTAATAAGTTGAAGACTCTTAGAAACATAAGAACACTTTAAATGAAAGTAAGATGCAGTCAAGGGGTGTTGTCCTGTAGAAAACAGACATATAAATATATTATTTTTGCTCATATTTTGTTTTGTTTTTTACTTTTCTTACAATATCTTTGTCTGCTTTTAAATCGTTTTCATTGATTTTGAATTATAGCATACACTCTCCCCTATCAGTTTTCTGTGAATGTGAATTTTGAAGAATGTGGGTAAATGATAGAAACTGGGAGAATGACAGCCTGTTTGAATTGCATTATAATACAGTCCAATGCAGGTTCTTTAGTTCTCAAGGATTGCGAGACTCAAATCAGAGGATAGAAATGTAACTTTAATACTGTACGAAAATAGTCTGCTGTCATGAGCAGCAGCACAATATTTTACCTGTATTCCTCTCGCACAGCTCATCTTCGGTTTACAGTTCAAATGTGAAAACCTTTGAAAAAGTGGTCATTAAGTCTTACAGCACAGGCTCAGACGTGGCCTGCTTTCGCCCTGGAGCTGTCTGAAAGCCCACGGACTCTAAACTAATAGGAAGTACCAGTCACCCGGGGGTCAGTGACTCCAGCCCTGGTTTCCTGCCCCTTGCCTTGCAGTTGCCCCCCGGAGGAAAGCCAGGGGCCCAGTGGTGCCCATCACGCCGATGCCCAGCTACTCCGACATGGACACTCCGGAACTGAAGGCCAAGCTCAACAGGTGAGCCCCCTCTCCACCTTCTCTCAGGAAGAGCATCCCCTAAAGGCTGGGTTTGGACTTGGAGCTGCGTAGGTAGGTTACACACAAGGGGAGGCCGTTTTCTCTGTTTAGCCCATCGGGTAGCTAACTACTGGAAGAACAGGACAGAATCCCACAAGACCACACCTGGAATCTGGTGCAAAGCATGCGTCACAGGTGTACGCCTTGTACTGCTTCCAGTAGTGGCCACACAAGACTCTGACCTTTACAGTATTCCCATGGATTGATGACAGTCAGCGTAAAGACGTAGAAACAAGACAGATCTTCCTGAAGACGCTGTGAATTTGTTCCAGTTGAGTGCCAAGTTTCTTGCGATGCTTTATGCGTCTTGTGAAGAGCTTAATCTTAGCTTAACAGGGCTGGCGCTCTCTCCAGGTTCGGTGTCCGACCTCTGCCCAAGCGCCAGATGGTCCTGAAGCTGAAGGAGATCCACCAGTATACGCACCAGCTGACCAGCTCGGACTCGGAGGACGAGGCGCTGGCCCAGCCCGCTCAGCCCGGCCCCGTGTTTCCCAGCGCTGCCAGCTCCTCTGAGGCCCCACGCCCACAGGGAAGGAAACCCCTCCCCGGCGATGTGGGATCTGGGCGATTTGAGGAGCCCGGGCGCGGGGCGTCGCCTGGGGAGGCGGGGGGCTTTGAGGGGGCCGAGCAGCTGCCCGCCTTGCAAGGCTCCACCGCCTCGTCCGCTACCGCCAGCGAGGACTCCTTCTCATCCCAGAGGTAGGGCGCTTCTCTCGGGGGGACGAGTGGGCGAGCGGGGGTTTCGCGGGGCTGGGATCGAGGAGCTGGGGGGGGTGGGGGGCAGCCGCCGCACGGGCCGGACGCGGCCCTTTGGTGAAGAACTGCTGTCTGGACCCGGAGAGCTCGCGAGATCAGAAACGTTCGGAATCCAGAATCGGAATCCAGCTGCTTGTTGGCCTCTCGGCGAAGCCCAGCAGGGAGGGAGCTGGGGCTTTGGAGGTGCGTGATGTGGACCATGACGCTGTTGTCCAGGTTCCGATGCTGGTGAACAGTGAGCAAAAGAAAATGAACTGCTGTGTACTGAAAGTATTTACCAGCTTCAAACCGTCAGCAAAAGCTGGTGTCATTTACAGTATACATTATGATCTGCCTGTATAGGCTAAAGATTAATGGAGGATCAAAGCAATCTTGAACATTTTGATTTAGCTTTCTGAGCCAAAATACTACTGGTTCCAAACTCGAGGCGAATCGGATACAAGGTAGCCAGATTATAGCCAGGCTGTTTGGGGATCCTCTTCTCATGTTTCTTCATGAGGGTGGAGAGAGAGTGATTTTAATAGCTTTTTTCCTCAAGGGTATTGCTGTACTTTTTGTGAAAGATGGGAGTCTAGCCAGAGGTATTAGGAACAGAAAGAAAAATGTTAAATATTAGAGGAAACGGAAGCAGCTTATTTGGAGGTAGGACGTACATTCTGTTGTGTCTGCTCCCAGGTCGAACCCGGAGGAATGCGGTCCCTCGGGGGACGAGGATGAGGAGGAAGGGTTTACCCCGTCCCAGGCCGCAGTGCGGGAGGCGGACAAGATCGAGGCGGTGCGCCGGTTCATCACCTCTGACCCCGAGCTGCACCGCTCCGTCCTGCTCTACCAGCCCCTAGTCCTCTCCCAGCTCCAGGCTCAGCTCCAGCAGGCGGGCATCCGGCTGGGAGCGGCCAAGCTGCTGGACTTCCTGGACTCCCAGTGCATCACCTTCACCACCGCCAAGCCAGGCCAGCCCCGGGGGCATCGCCGGCGCCAGAGAGGGGGCAAGTCGGGGCGCCACAGAGGAGCGGGCAAGGGGGGGGAGTGAGGGACGCCGGCTCAGCGGAGAGGAGTAGGAGCCAGCCCCCCCCATGGGCACAGCTCGCTGCCACCCTGGCACTCGGACTCTTGGGAATCCCGGTAGCACCGATCCCGAAATCCTGCAAGAGCAGCGGTTCACCCTTCTTCGCAACCTCCTCGGTATTTGCCGTCTCAGATTAGGGCTTTAGGATCATTCATGACACTGTGGAGGAGGTTTATATAAAGATCGGTGGCTACCAGTCCTGAATTAGGGCTACAACGGTGGATGTCGAACAATACGATTTTAATTCAGTTCAGCGAAAGCGGTACCTTTTATGAAAGTCTTTTGTAAATGGACAGACTGATACCAAAATACGCTGAGGGTGAAGGGAACAGTTTTTGGAGATCTCTAAAGGTTCTGCTGTTGTGTTGACTTTACTGGGCACCCAGGTTTTGATGTATTTCAATCTGTTATTGGGAACATGTTTTTCATTTCAAACTATCTGAGCCATAGCTGTGCACATTCCAAGTGTTTCTTTTATCCCAACTTATCAGCATATACAAGCTGGCCCAGAACATCTTAGTTTTAGTTCATGTTTACAGTTAGGATTGTAATTGCATCTCTAGCTTGTTTCTGGTCTTTTGTTTTCTTTCATACTGTGAAGCAATTGCTTCTTGCTTATTTTTGTTTCCATTTCCATTCCTTGCTGGTATTTATGTTGTGACACAAGCAGGGTGCCCAGTTCCGTTTGTGATCACGTCTCGGCAAATTCTGCATAAAAGGTGTCAGTTTGGTTTGAGAAATTTGTATTAAGACCCGTAATCTTGCTTTTATGTCATTTAAGATGCATTTCAGCTCTGAAAGGTATCTTGGCCGGTTTAGCCAGTTACTTGTGTGCAGTTACCTACCAGGACACTCGTGCAGTTCTGTTGGATTTTCCATCCTTTCTCGAGGCTTTTGGACTTTGGACTGAAGTTTTTCAGTTTTGATATTTAGAAATGCAACAGCTCAGTGTTCTGATCTTCACCAGCTTCACTTCTGTGAAATCTACGATTTAAGAATTTTTGCAATGAATTTGACTTTGTAGAACTGTTTTTAAATTACTGTAGTACACTTTTATTGCTTTGAGATGTACTGAAAAAAAGTCTGTATTGTAGTGTCTGATCTGTTGTGATATATGTACTTCGGTGGTTAAGAAATACATTGTTTTTGTAAAAGCAAGGTATCATTGCTTAATATAAATCCTCAAGAAAAAGAATCCTTGATTTTAAGGATATAAGGAAATGATTTTAAGATGTACCCTCTTGATGCCTGATGTTCCATACCAGGGAAATCCTTATCGTGATGTATTTAGATATCAAAGCCTCTTGATATTTGAAGGTTCTTTCTCAAAGCTATATACTTTATCCATTTAAGACAGGGATTCATTTTTAAATAAGCATTCCTTCTCTTTTGCTCATCACTCAGCTTTATGGGGATATCTTTCTTGTTCTCAGGTTCTGTTCAGTTAAACTTTGCCATCATATAGGCCAATCTTGCCTTTCAGTGAACTCATAGGGACCTTTGTAAACTGGAATAGCTTTCCTTTGGAATCCTCTTTTGACTCCTTGCAAGTTCCACAGCGTCTGTGTGCGTCAGTGGGTAGTACAGTACGCCTCTCCTTGCAGCTCTTGGGAGTTTCTTGCTGGAGAGGCCACCAATGACCCTGGATCCCACAGCTTGGCTAATTGCACACTCTGACACAGGGAATACCAGTCCCAGCAGGTCACTGCAATGACCCAGTCTCACCACCACAGTGCCTGCATCCAGGAGCTCACCTTATGCTCCGAGAATGCATCGTTCGGCATCGGTCCCGAGCTTTTGCAAAATTGAGTAAAGTTAGAAGTCAGCAGCCAAATACTATCAGAACTCACCTTAATTGAGATTGCATTTAAAAAAATAACAGAAGTGAACAGTGCACTGAATCAGACACTGCTGTCCGAGCATTATGAATGCTATTAGGGGCTGCTTTAGGAGAACAACAGTTTATTAAACAACCTGAGGTTAAACTGAATGACGATCAGCTGGGTGAATCTCTTGGCAGCTAAACACCCAAGGATAAATTTGTATAAAGTAAATTCATGATTCTGTTATAACAAAAAGCAGGTGAGAGATGGGACCCTACGGATTAAATTTTCGGGGAATTTGGGAAAAAAAATGCAATAATTTCAGCACTCGCTGTATTACTGAAAATACCATTTACTTTAAGCAACTACCAGCCAAGTGATAGAGACATCTCTTCTCGCAACAGTATCTGTTAAAAAAAGAACAGCGATCCTCTGATTGGCCAGCAGGTAGAAGACACTCCGTGGTGTTGTGGCGTGGGGGGAGGGGCTTGGGGGGGGTCAGAGTTCAGCCACATGTTGCCAAGGGAATGTCATGGCAGTGTGGGAGTTCGAGCCACACCAGGCTCTCTGCAGATATCTCGCGGAGTCCCCTGAGTCCAGACGTCGGCTTTTGCAGCCAAAACCGGCTTCTCTTCACGAAAGATTCACAATGTTGGCCAGGAACCTCTGAGCCCACCATTCGTCCAGGTCGATGGGCACGAAATCTGAGGGCAAATACATATTGTGTGAGATGACTGGCGCGCAATCTTCTACCAGGCCGTGCTAGAAATCAAACAGTGTTTCGCAGCAAACTGCACGGAGCTCTTTCGCATAACCGTTAATCGGTCCAAACAGCAGTCGAACTGATTTCACTGTGACTCTCGCTCTGAGCAGGTGACTGTTTCATTAAGCTCTGTCTGTAGCTCTGCAGATTACACCGAGGAAACTACAAATATAGAAACAGGAAAAGCACATGGGAGGACGAATTGCTGTCAAAATGGCTGTGCAGCTGTCATGTGAACAGATCAGTGTAAAATGATTTTCTGTTTTTTATCCTTGCAAGAGAAACGACTGCAGGCAGGTAGGGTAGGGAAGCTGGCAGTGGTTCCGGTATGGGGCACATCACTCTGTGGTGACGGACACTGTTATACCAGGAAGCCATGTGGTAGATATATTTTAGTATATTCTCAGTAACAATGGGTTAAGATCTGGGGTAGATTAGGCTTATTATGACAAAATAACCAGCTCACCGAGGGGCTTGGGGGCCCACACACCTGCTGGGTTTCATTCCAGCAGGTCTTAAACACCTAATTGATACAAGTTTCCTGACTGGAAGATTAACATTCGATTCAAAATCCTTTATTCACCCCCAAGGGAGACGATTTAATTTGAATTATTTTGATCGAGTGCTTTTATTTCTCTAATGAAATGCAGTAGTTAAAAGACAACCTCCGCCATGTTTAAGGGGTGAGATGGAGAGGGACACTCACTCTTCGTGCTGGGGCTGGGGCTCTTCTCTGTGTACTGGACTGGTCCCTGTCCATTCTCGGCCTGTCTCCCATCTCCCATCCGCTGCTCTACGTCCTGCCAGGCTGCAAACACACGCACACACACACATTAGTGACCCAACACTGCCTCCATAATCGATTATGTCAATTCGTGTGAACCGTGGTTCCAGGTTCCCGATAGGCGTGAATCTCTGCCCTCTATCTTAACGGTGTCCACAGCAGTACAACTGCTTTTTCCCTTGACTCCTGTTTGGAATGGTAGGAAGCTACAGAGTTCCCAGATTGTCATTCTTTTTTATGAGAATTCAAGTTCATAGCAAAAACAGTACAGCATGACACACATTGTGTATTCTGCTATATCTGTACTTAACTCTTGTGTGGGTGGCCAGTCGTATCTGTTTAATGTTGGATTGCATTGTCACTTGCTGCTGCCCTATTAAAAAACGGTTAGTATTAAGTATGGACCAATGCAGTAGCCTGGACAAACAAGCCAAATTCACGCGACCTGTGCTCTTTCGCGAAACATCTTTCCAACTTTTAGCTACTGTATGTCCCTAACAGTAGTAAAGCAAGAACACAGGCAAAACAGCCTCTTTAAAGGGACTGACGATGTAGAAACGAAACCAGTTTGTACAATATCTAGATTTGCGTCGATGTCTGCCAATAACAATGAAACAGAACCTGTGCGATTTGTTTTAACTAAGCATGGAGCTTGGAATCAGGTCTTCGTGTGGAAGGGGGAGGGATCAAACTTTTAAATGTTTCGGTTACTGAACCTCAACATACGCAGCAAGTGCATGACAGACTCACGCATGCGGAGCGCAGGGATGGAGTTGCTCAGGTCAGAACAGAGGATTGGGCAGAGCATTAAGAAAGGCCAGGTCTGGATGAGCTTCATCCCATCAGCTGTCATCAGGCAGCAGGAACCGGAGATTAACTCCTGTGCCGCTGGAACCTCATGACAATACAGTAAGACTGCTTCATTTTCTGTTTATTTTCAGTTTAAACCAGCTGATTCTGTTTCCCGGTTAAAAAAAGGAGAGCTCTGCTAATTAAGAGACAAGGCAACATTCTTGTCATTTCACAACACAGCTACCGTGTGTTCGGCCTCATGGGTGATTTTGATCTTTTGTCCCCAATCCCCTTTCATTCACACTTCTGCCTTGCAGTTTAGCCCAAGGACGCCTTTTAGACAGAACTGAAACGTACAGTATGTAATGTAGGACATTACAGGGTGCAATGTTTTTGACATTATTGTAGCTAAGCTTTGTGAATGCAATGAATACTTTAAACTGGGAACCAGTAAGACTCGGTGATTCTCAGTGATTTAGACCAGGGACACCCATACCTATCCGCAGGTTTTCTGGGTCTCTTTAAAGAGCCATCACATCTCATTGAAATGGAGACAGACCAGATGTACTCTAATGAAAACGCACTATGTGTGGCTGATCCATTACAACAGCCTACAGGTATAAAAGTAACAAACGCTTCCAGAGTTGGGTGAAGAGCAGCTTCTGTTACTGGCTCAGTGTCTGTATGGCCTGGACCCAGTCTCTCAGTTCTGTACAACAGTGCATCTCAAACAACCAGCTCCTCAAATCCATTCCAGTGCAGGTTACTGCTTCAGTCGGCTCCTTCATCCCACTGCCTAATCTTCAGCTTAGGGAAGAATATGAAGCATGTGGTACCCAAGCCCTGCTATGGGATGGACTGACTGTCACCAGGTTTGCACTCGAGATGTGTTAAATATCTAAAATATCAAAATCCAAACTGACGTTAAATAGGTTAACTTGACATTTTTGAATGATTCGGTCTCTAAATAGGGAAGACAACATTCTTTGCGAAGATTTATAGTTGATGTGGAATTTCTAGTATTTAGAGCTCAAAAGGGCTCTAAGGGTTTTAGGTGGTCAGTGCTGTAGTGCAGATGTAAACTGACTGATAATGTTTCTGCCTTCCAACATTATTAGGGAGGAAAAAAGGTCTGATCATAATGTAAAAGATGCACAAAAAAGAATGATTCAAGAGGAAAAGATCAAATTAAATCTTGCTGGAAATCTAACAAAAATGCACAAATGCTTCAGGTTGCCTATATTAAGGCTGTATTCCCGAGAATAGGCTCTAGCCTTGAAAAAGGCTGTGTGCTACAGATCCTTCACAGGAATCATGCGATAAATAATAAAGTCTAAACAGCAGAAGTTAAACAAGCACATAATGAGGAATGCAATAGACAATTCAAACAAGCCACTTTCGAAAGCAGCTCCAGATAAGATACCGTAAGTGAGCAAGCAAAAAAAACAACCCACGACAGCTTTATCACCAACTGCATAATCCGCTTCTTCCCTGATTGGCTCAAAGGTGAACAAGTTGGACATAATGCGGGCTTGTAGCAGCGTGTGGATGAGGTCTGGGATCCTGACCCCTGGGCGTCTGTGACTTCTGGCTCCCTGCCTACAGCGCCGGGGGGAGAGAGTCCAGCAGGGCAGCTGCCGCAAGACCACGCTCGTGTGAGCGCGCCAGGATAGTTCTGCGCGACGAGGGCGATGCACGAACAGCGGTGAGTTTCCTGCTTGCACTTTTTAAGCAGACTTTCTTCTGGCTTTGTGCCCACTATGGTTTAACTCTGACTCACGAGCCCACCCCCCCCTTCCAACTTAAAATGGTAGATACTGACTCTGCACATGCCTGCGTTTTGAATGTAAACCTTTGATCTCTCACTGTGGTGTTGCACAGGGACCTACACGCCACTGACTCTGATTATAACACAAATACACCAATGTGTGCACACAACATGTGGATCTACATTATCTGTTTGTTTAATCACAAGATCGCTCTGTAGATTTACCATAGCTGATGCAGTTTCCCAGTTAAAAACGTTAAGTCTACTGATCGCGAAACGAGGCCTGGGCTGCTTCTAACTGAATATGACAGCCGCCGACAGGTTGAGCTCGTCCGTTCCTTTAAGCAGTTTACAAGTGATGCTGAACACTAATCGCAGAGCCTGTTTAATCTCCATTTCGGCCCTGTAGTTTCACAATTCAGCCCAGAGCGGACTTGAGTATGGTTATGGGTTGACTTTCAGCAGCAGGTAAATGAGTCATCCAGATACAGTATTCTTTTGAGCAGAATGGAGATGTATGTAGTGCTCAATAGTCACTACTGCAATGTCCAGAATAATACAATCTATCTGGACATCAAAAACATATGAATAATTTTACTTTGGCTCTAGTGAAGACTCAATTGCTGCATATCACTCTTCATAGGAAGTAATCGGTAAACTGAAAATGAAAATCCCCTAATTCACCTAACACTTAAGACATGTAGTTTGCAATGATTGCAAAGAACTGTTGTGTGAAACGTCTGGGTTACTATCACACAACTGGCCAGTATAGATTGATCAGTGGGATCTGAACTTTACTCATTTGTTCACAGTGTTTCCTAGTTTGTGTTTTCATGTAGGCTTGAGATAGCAGAGTACCATTTCTTTGTTTTCTCTCTGCTGTTGAGAACTACTGGCAGAACTGATTATTCAACAGGCCATCTTTGACAAAGACATAGCAATACTCTACTTCAACCACAGGACGTCCTGTCAGTCCGAAGCAGTTGCGTGTTGTAAGGGCGTGTACAGTGAAACACACCTCTGTAAGATAACACAATCCTACACTGAAGACCTATCAGCACTGCCAGAGGTGCGCCTTGTGGTCAGCTTTTAACATGGACAGACAAATGCACAGAATACGTAACTGAAACAGTCTAGACAGTCGGTTTTAAAATATTTTTTTTTAAATGAAGCTGTAAAAATGTTATTACTTTTATTAAAATTGTGTTTTATTTTCCAGGAAATCGCTTAGAAAGACAGCCAAGTAAGACAACTCCGAACATACAATCATTCGCTGGAACAAGCAATGAAAGCATTGCATTAAAATGAACAAATAACACCCACCTGGATCTTCAAAGTAAACTGCAAACACTGAAATATTACCATGTCAAGATATCGACTAAGAGTCCGTGTCAAACGAAAGTACAGTGTTCTTTAGCAGGCAGGACAGAAGTTTCAGCTCAGCATTATACTGTAGGTCGCTGAAAGACCATGGGGCAGAATTCCTGAATTCAGCTTCAGTTAGCACAAAAGGCACTGCAATTCATTTTAAAAAAAGACATTGAAGATAGCAGCCCTTAATTGGACAGCCATTAAGCTTGGGATGAAGCTTAATTTGTTTGGTCTTTAATTACTATTACTATAATTGTTAGAATGTTACAAAACTAAAAGGTTAAGTACTTTAATGTCATGTGAAGTAGCTGCATCACAAACCACAGACTTTTTTTTAGGACATGTACAGTAACAGGATTTATTTCTCAGAAGGACATTAGGGCCAGAAACAGGTTGTTTGCAGCCATTTCTAGCAGAAAAACACTTCTCTCGAATGGCCCTGAACTCAATGACATTACTGAGGGAGTCAAGGAGCCTGCAGCCTGATAGGCAGAAATGGCAAAATGTAGCCTTGCAGGGACTCCAGAGGCTAAGTGTATTTGACACATTTTTAAACAGTTGATACCTGTAGAAAAGACTATTTACTTTTATACGAAAGATGCTTGCTTGCCCAGCCGTAGCTCTTGAAATTGTTTTGTTATTCACCAAGTAATGCATATTGTTTAGAAGTGACAAACAGCGGAGTGAGGATAATTAAATTAAATTTTACATGAGAGAAAGGGTTTCAATAAGGACATTTGAAAGGTGACAAATGAGAGGAGGCCATCTGGACCACCTAGCCCATCTGATAGTTAAGCGATACAAGGATCTGGCCATTTCTTGAAAGAACTCAAGGACCTGCTGGCTGGCTGGCTTGTTCCACAGTCCCACAATCCTTTGGGTAAACAAGTGCTTTCTGTCCTTGGTTTTAAATTTGCTTTTACAAGGTAGAAACTAATAAATTAAAGAATTCTATGCCAGTAATGAACCAATGGGCAGGTTTTTTAAAAGGCTGCACTATGTCAGGCATCTCCTGTTCTGCAGTTCCCAGTGCCCAGTGCTCACATCTCACTTGGCAAGAAGACAGAGCTGTTGGCTTTTCTGTGTTACAGTTCATTGGTGATTTAGACCTCATTCGGTGCGTATTTAATAACAGTTTTAGTTCGGTTGCTACCTTATTTTCAGGAAGCAGAGAGGCGTACTTGTGGGTGAAAATTAGTCTCCGCCCATGGCAGAAGACGTCGTCACTCTGCTGTTTTACAAATCCTTTCATTAACATGAACACCACAAGAAATGACAGTGGCTCTTCTCAGCTTCACGACTGTACCTGAATGAAACGCCACACAATCACTACTTACCCGAGTCAAAAGCTCCTTATTAGTTTCAGATACACCTTCACCTTACAGCCCCACTGAAAATCAGTTCGGTAGCACACGTCATCAGCAGATTTCGAACAACGCCAGCTCACGTTTTTCCCCTTGGATCCCGGCCTACCTTCGTATACGAACTTGACATTTTCCTCGTGCGCCGGCGTGTAGCCCTCTCCCTGCGAGTCTGTCTGAGGCGTCAGCGTGGGGGTCTTCTTCCCGTTCAGGCGGTTAAACACGAGCTTGGGTGCCGGAGAGCTGGGGGAGTGGGGGGGAGAGAAACCATCAAGCACACAGTCGTCAGGCCCTGCTGTCTCCACAGGGGGGCCTCCCCTCCAGGTCCCGGCTGTGACTATCCACCGCACGGCCCACCAACAACGCTCACAGTGCCGGCTTGTAGGGGCTTGTAGATCACTGAAATGCGGGAAGAGTTGGGTCCAGGTTTTATGTTGTTAGAACAGTGTGAGAGATCCAAGAAGTGGTGTTGTTGCAAATTAATCCCCCATCTACACCCTTCTGAGTGCTACATTCTCCCCTGTTTTGCAAATTATTTAAAAAGTGGGATTATACTGACAGTCTCTTAAACTGTGCATTTTTGTGAGAGTTTGGCTGGTGGCTTTATCAAAGGTGCCTTGTTAGAGCTGCAAAGTTTTATTTTAACATTTTAATGCAGTCATATCTGCCCCTAGTTGCTGAAGGATGAAGGTTAACCCAACTGTTTTTGGTGACCTCATATACTCTCGTAATCTGATCTGGCTTTCCTTGGTAAAAGGGGGTGGAATGCATGTAAAAACTAGGAGAGCCCTTAACACAAACATTTCTCAGATATCATTTTACTATTTTGTGGCTGAGAAAATGCTGCTTGTTCTTGATCCAAGAAACTGGATTGACCTTGCAGTTCTTTCAACTGAAATTATTCTGCCAGTAGATCCTTTCCTAGCTCCCAGCTGCTCCAGGGGCGCCGTATAAATGGCTGACCCTGCGCTCTGACCCCAAACTTCTCTCTTCCCCTCTGTGTGCCTGTGTGTCTCATGGAGAGCAAGCTGGGATATGCGAAAAGACAACTTCCTAATGGAAGAAATAGTAGGGGGCTAATAAAGTGATCTTATCTTCTCTTGTTTAAGGATGAGCTGGAGAAAAGACCTGGAATGGAATCGAAGTGCCAAGGATCTGCACCCTTGATAAAGGTCAGGTGTGTCAAACTCCATTCCCGGCGAGCCTTGTGGGTTCTAGTTTTTGTTCTGACCCGAATAGTCAATTAGACAATTAACCTCGCTTTCTGGATTGCACATATAGATGATTTTTCTTAAGGTCTTTTAGAGTTGATTAATGAAGTGAATGTCTTCTGTAAAGACATTCCTCATCACCTACTGTGAGTAGTTCAGAGCCGGTAGTTACACCACCTATATGACAGAATATAGTTGGAACAAAGCCCAGCAGGCACTGGGCCTTCAGGAACTGAGTGTGAGACGCCATGTTTAAGTGCAGCTTATGAAACATGTTTAAGGAAGGTCTTTCCTTTCACAGACATGATGACTTCAGGGTCTATTTCCAATCCAGCTGGACTGTCAGTTGCTTAATTAGGCCTTTTAAATTATTTTGTACTCCTGAAATGTCGTAGTTTCCAATAAGCTGAACTTTTTTAGAGGCAGGTTTCTGATATTAAAATGTGTTTATCAACAAAGTGTTAACTGGGTGTTAACTTGCATACTTAAAAATTGTTACTTCCATATTTGTGAATGGCTTTTTTTTTTGTCTTTTCTAAAATTAAGGGACAGATGGTTTAGGGATTCTGTTTTTTTACCTTTACAGTGGCTGTAGACCAGCACAGTGAGGACTTTTTTTGAGACCATACTTCCTTACACAACGGTGGTTGCTATGGCGACAGCACCACGATTACGAAAGCCCAGAAAATTAACTATATGTCCTCCTCGCTCAAGAAAACTAAAAGTGGCGTTTAATCGTACATTCAATTCCCGAATCGTTAGCTGACCTGCAGCTGTCTTCACTATTAGTCCACTAATCACACGTTTATAACTGAATAGCTTCTGAACTGCGATAGAACAAAAAAAATGCGGAGAGGCCTCTCGTGTCGCTGGTGCCCTTGCTTAGCTTAGTTTACCGGCTGATTCGTGAAAATCAGTCCTTTCTAAAACGCGTCTGGTTCAATGCGGAGTCCGTTGCAACGGGGTGGCTCAGCATTTTACAGTGCTTTCCTCCACGGGCACCGCGTTTCACGGCAGTAAGGGACAGTCACGGTAACCTTGTCTAAAAGCAAGGTCACCCCCCTCGTCGGCGTGCCACGAACTGCAGGCGCTCTGGACCCGGGACGACAGGGGCTTCCTGGATAATATCTCGTTGGCTCACCCCACGGTGAATCGGTTAGGAAGATGTGTTAACAAAATAAAAGCGCCCCTTCGTCTTAAACGACATGAGGACGGACCCAGCCGGCAAGCGCTGCCCGAGCAGCAGCGCAGCTCGCATAGCAAGAGACCCGGCGCTGGAAACCACGCTGTCGCGCCTCGGCAGTCACATTGTGTGCCGATCGTGTCGCAGTCATGCAAACGTCTTTCATGAACGTTAACCGGTTACTTACTGTGCCGCTGACCAGTGGGCCTGTTTGTGTTTCAGGTCGTTAATTTTGTTCTCTATTTGCTGCGTAGGACCTTAAAATTAAAAGATAAGGGACACAATAATTTACAAATACGCTCCGCACTGTATCATATGTATCCAAACGATGCAAGGAAAAGCTGTGTAACCTTAAGCACTGGTTACACATGTAGCAGTGCATTCAAAATTCGTAGGCATCAAGCAATGAATGTTTTATGTATCGGACACGCTGCCACATGTCAAATAAATAAATGTAATGCCAAAGTACGGCCATTCTTTAAAGAAGAGATGGGAATTTAAATGGTATAATCAGAAACACTCGGATACCTGTTCTCCGCTGTGTCACAAGTTTGCTGGGACCCCTGGTGATCGTGTACATCATGTGTTACCGAAATCCCGGTGGCTTCAGCGTTGCACTTTAAAAAAAAGTATCCGATTGCACGCTTGGACAGCGAGTAAGCCAAAGTTTGTTTTTTTTTCCGTGAATCAAAAAAACAAAAACCCGTACACGCCGACAAAGCCCTCGGCAGTCTTAGTGTCGTGGCAGTCACGTTGTAATAAGGCACCGAGTCGCACAAACAGCCGTAGAGAAAAGTGATCTGAACGCTACAACGTGTCTGCCGTGGCTGATCCCCAGATGATCTGGGCAAAACTGTTTAAAAAAAAAAATGCTTGTGCGCCGGTCGAGGTCAGCGTAGGTGAAGCGATCTGCGGCGGGCGAAGGCTTTGCTGCTTCCAGCGGAGCTGCCGTGTGGTGCTGGTTCGGTCCGGACCCGGAATGTAGCTGGGGGGAGTACAGCTTTAGTTAATTCTGATGAAACCAGCTGTCATTCAGCCGCACAGACTCTGAGAAATGTTCTCCACCATTTACCCCCGTGACGTCGCCACACGCCCCCTAGATAGCCTTAAAGCGGCAGCCTCCTTCAAGCTTGTCCTGACCTCTCACCTGCAATAACTGCTGGGAGAGAGGGGAGACGGCGGCTGGCCGTGCGGCAGATTGTCTCATTCTAACAAACTGATTTTTAAGTTAAATATTTGCTTACAAGACGTGCACAGGCCACACGGGCTCTTGCGGGACAGAACTCCCCCTGGAAGAAGAGAGGCGATGTTCAGATCTCTCCCCTGGGTCGGCGAGGTTGGCTGACGTTTGTATGCCCCCCACACGTGAACTTCGTGCCCTCGTAAAAGATTACGAGCAGGCAGAAATTTTAAATTAAAGCTGACCCAGGCTTCACAGTCTCAGCTCACCCGCTCCCATTCCTTCTCCCAGGGGAACGTATCCTTTCGAGGCAATTTCGAGCTTTTCCAGGATAACAGACGGGTTCTAAAAACCGGGCTAATATGCCTGATATAATACGCGTTCAGTAGAAGAGTGGTGTGAATCAACAGAAAAAAGAAAACCCTACAAAGTCACGCGGAGAGTTAATGTATTTGCACAAAGGCAAATTAAAACCGGCTTAGATGACAGGTGAAAAACTAGTGGGTTTCATTACAGCCCTTTAATGCAGTAACACACCTGTGCTGAGCCGCAGTAGATTTGTATGGTATTCTTTCTTTACCGAAAGGCTTAGCGATTGAGTTAAAGGCGTGTATATTAACGTCCGTGTTTTTGGTTTCACTTCAGTCGTCGAGCGCTTTTAAGTCCGTAAAAATATCTGGTTCCCATGTTCAACTCATAAAAGCACAAGTTTTTTGTCCCCCTCCCCCCCAAAAAAAAAAAAAACAGTCGAAATATTGTTTTAGAACAAAGAAGCGACAGTGTTTTCCAAGCCCGCATACGTGGGCTGTGGTACGCGGTATACTCCTGTATCTTCGAGTACTCCTTGTCCGTCACCCGACCTTGGACGGACACGCGGGTGACATTGAAACGATTTAGGGACCGGAATTCAAAGATTATTGACTGGGCGCGGTAGTTTATCAAAGTCTGTCATCGTAGTGCCAGATAAAGGGGAGATTAGGAACGAAAAACATTCCACGAGCCGTGTGAGTGAAGGACTTGTTGCATCAACTGCTTTTCACGCACGCTGCTCCTAGGACGCGCAGTGCTCGGAGCGCCAGGTACTCCAGCTTCCGTTTTCACTCCGTTTCGCATGAAAAGACAGCTGATCGGACAGTTTGCATGCGTTTGAGGCTTTCTCAACTCAACAAAATATGGAAATAACCGGGGTGGTGTATGGACTGAGCGCATTCCTCGTTGTGCCCAGTCGGTTCGCGCACTTTTAACCTGTTTTTTTTTTAACCAGGTGCCAAGTGATGGGTTAGATCCCCAAACTCCCCTCTTCGGGGGTCCGACTGTTTTCCTCACTCCTTGAGTGAACAGCTCTGCAGCTGGGGGAAGGTTTAAAATGGACCCAATTGGGTTTGAACTAGACTAGTTGGGTGTCCCTTCTCCAGCCCTTTAAGATGTTCGGTGCTTTGTTGTCGGGGTCAGAAAGTGGGACAGTCCGGTGCCAGGTCCAGGCTTATAATACTGGAGGATTTTGTCCTAATGTGTCGTGTGTTGTAGTGCGGTAAGGAACAGGTGGCACACAGCGGTCACAGCCGCTCCTGCGGTTCAAAGCGCAGCTGTGTGCTTGGCCCTGTTGTCAGTGAGTGTCTCTTGAATGTCACACACGGAGCAGTCTGGGCCGGTTGTAACAGTCAGAAAACGCTGGGGCAGTTCAATTTTTAAAGCACCAGGAACTAGGAAGGATGGAGGTCTGCGATAGATGTCTGTTCAATTATTTTATGTGATTTTCTTTTTAATCCGCATTGCTTCCAGAGTAAGTAATAGCTGACACTTTTTTTTGTCAGTTAATAATGATACTATGGTAAAAATGCAACCAAATTACAGTGTATTCCTTTTAAACATTTCATAGCTTGTAAATGACGCACTTTTACTTAGTTTTCACTGCAATTGCGTGGTTAATAGTTAATATGATACCTACTTCTGTGAGCACAGCAACACAGACCAAGTCCTACGCGGTTAAAACTATGTGCTGTACAGTATGTTCACACTGTGGTGGCCGCATCTCTTGGTCACCCTAAAACGCAGGTCATGGCTCTTTTAGCAGTTAAACTGAAAGAGGAGTTTTCACAAAAACAGCAATAAAAATAAACCCCATACATGATACATACGAGAAACAAATATATATATATACACACACACGTCTATATCCACTACGATGTTTGTTTTAGGTGGATTCTGTTCTCAAATATGACACTTAAGAGCTCTACTCTTACTCGACAGTGGTCATTATAATGCAAATAATATTTATGAAGACGTAAAAATTATTCATAGGGTTGAAGGTTACCTCCTACTTAAATTTAAATAGGATATATTATGTAATCCTACCAGTTATATAGTTTCAGAAACTTTAAACGTTTCATCGAGTCATCAGCTACCTAAATAACGATATGATTGGCTGCTCAGTTCCGTACGTCTGACCAATAGGAATGAATATACGCCTCAGCTTATTGACCAATAGAAACAGCTCTCCGCTATATGAATAACTGACCAATAGGAAACACGTACTCCAGCCCCCCCACCCGCCAATAGAGCGTGTCTCTGGTTTCTGTGCGTTGTCCAAGAAAAACTTCTCACGGCTTCAGTCACGAAGCAGGAGAAAAAAAAAACAAGCAACGATTCTGCTACCTTATACTTTTGTATTTAGCACGTCTGAGCAATACTCACAACAAATCCAGACTATTGAATTCCAGTCTAGACTAACACCCTGGGCCTGCGATAGTTTCCCTTTCATTTAATTTCCGACTTCTCTAGCTGGTAGAGGGGCTGTTGGTGCAGAGTGGCTGGTATGTCGCACCTTGGAAAGCTGCATTTCCATGACGGACGAAGTCAATTCTAGCCAATATGTAAAATACATTAAAACCATGAGGATTTATCGATTAGTTATTGGAATGTTAAGGTACAGCTCTGGTCTCAGTCTGGGTATTTCCAAGAACTGTCTGCATGTGACACTAATGCAACCTTTGTGCCCTGACTTCTGTATTAATGTTAAATGCCTAAGTACTTACATCCTTGCCCCCAGCCACATGTGAAGTAGTTAACCAAAATGTAGAAGGAAGAATGGCAACTTTGGAATATCCCAGGCAGCAGTTAATCTAATAAATTACTGTACTAGGTGTACTACTCTCCCTACACTTTAGTAACAAAACTGTATGTGCTCTAGCATAAGAGGAGACTCTCACCTATGGGGATCTTGAGCTCAGTAAGTTAAAGTATCATTTAAATCAGATGGACTAACTCTCCAACTGATGTTGTTTGTTGTAATGCATTCAGAATTTGACAAGACCCTGCAAGGTAAGGCGCTTCCCTCACTGAGTGAGGGCATCTTCAAAGGCACAATTCAGAAACAGCAGTTAAGATACTCCACACCTTTGAAGGAGAAAACTAGCCTGCAGCAGCTGCCACAACTGCGATAGAAACAGGCCAATCCCACCCAGGGAACCCCATCAACTGCCAGCTAAGCACTTGGTCACTGTGCTGTAGCAGCACTGACCAGCCTGTGCTCCCTTAGTCCTGTCAATAGGAGTGTACATCTGCATAACCAAAGCACCTTGACCAGTATAATGAGGGGAAATTGCATATGTACATGTTAAGATACAGTAGTTTTTCTCCAGGTGGCATTGTTGCCCAAGCAAAGCTTTCCCTGAAGATAGTTAACCAATGACTGTCCTTCAGTGCTTTATTGGTCTGAAGTTCGGTGGGAGATTATCCACTGGTACCACAACAGAGTTATTAGTTATTGGCCATATATGAAGACTTTCAGTGACACTTTCTCTTTATTGCACAAACACTATACAGGTGTTGGAAGATCAGGGTCAAGGACATGACAGAAAGTCAGAAGATAAAAATACAAACCACACATCTTGGTTCTACATTGCAGATGCAGTGTGGAGGATGGCACATTCCTGTTGGAGAGCTTCAGTTGCAAGTCTCCATTCTTCCCAGAGGACTTTAGCAGGGCAAAAAAAAAAAAAAAAGGGACTTGGGTCATTGTAGCACCATCTACAAGTAACACTTCTATACCAACACCGTTCCTACCCAGGCCAGTCACACTTTGGACTCTCAAGCTCCTTACCTTACACAGTGAGCTGCATTGTCCATGACAGGTCTGTGGGACGGCCAGTGGAGATACTGCTGTAAGGAAGTACACTCTAGCATAAAAGGAGTGGAGGTTTAGAATACCTTTGATTGCTCCTTATTTCAACAGGCAAGTACAGCCGTGTCCTACCTGGGATCTCAGTGTAGAGGTCTCTCCTCACTGGCGTGTAGCAGGGTCAAGCTGGGTTTCAGTATCCCACTGGGCTCCTCCTGGTATACAGCTTTCCTCAAGAACCTGGAGACATAGGCCTTTGGAAGGGGCTCTTGTGGAATCACATCTTTCCCCACAACAGTGTTCTGCCAAGACCAGATGGATTTTCCAAGCATCCGGCATTTAAGATGGATCAAGGCAAGGAATCATAAATACCCATAAAGCTTCAATTGTGCAGAGGCTTTCATAGTCCTGTGATTACAACTATACTTAAAATCTGCCCCCTAATCTCTATCCTACCCCCAGAGGCAGTATAGAGGAGCAGCCAACTAACCCCTAGACTAGACTACAGACACTAAGCAATATGGTCAGGCTGCTTGTTTTCACATGCAGGACCCTAAACATTTACATTCAGCATCATTGAGTAGAAGTTTTTCCCAATGGCAATTTACTCCACAACTTCTACTCACTCTATCTTGCCTTACCCATGAGCCGATACATACATCTCCTCACATGTAGCTCTCCCTACTGGGCAGCAGCACTCACTGCATTTCCACACCACAACTCTTGTCAAGCTTGTCAAGTCTCACAGATAGTCAGCTGGCTTCAAGAACAGTGTTCTAGTTGAATCTCCAAACCATTGACATCCTGCTGTTCTCACCAAATAGATCCTACTATTCTAAAGCCATAGGAACATTGGAAATACAACTCACAATTAAAACAAATCTTATATTCTTCTCCAAATCAAAGCACAATCTAAGCCTTTGTCTCCCAGGCTTCACTTTTATAAGCCTCTTCATTAACTACAGGGGTTGGGCTTGTTCTGTAGGAACCTATCCCAAAGGTCCGGGTGTGTCCAGCTCAATAACACACACCTGCTTCCTGATCCCTGCCTGCTCAGAAGCCATCTTGGCTCAGAGAAGCACCACAGCCTGGGCTTGAGCCAAAATGTAAGATTCTTACAGAAGCCTTCTAGGGACACTACGATGTTGCTTTAATACATTTTCCTTGAACACTATTAGACGTGTGTTTTCTAAACCTTTCAGCACAGCTCAATCTACTTAAGAAACAGATTAACAGAGAAATATAATGACTTGATTATAGTTTATATATACTTCTTATACATATCCACATTTGTGATTTCTCTTCCTATGTCAGAGCACTTGTCGATGCCTGCTATGATTGGAATGGTGTTCTCAGTTGATGTATCACAAAGGAGAAACTCAAATCCCCTACAGCCAGCTTCAGCTGAGAGACTCTATACTCTCCACCCGTTTCACTGACACTAAAGGATGAGGGATTGATGTGTCATGAGCATTTGCTTATGTTCATCCTCTTTCCTCTTCTCCTGTGCTCTGTTAATTCAATGAGATCTCCCTACTTTGGTCTCTAAGCAAAGCAAGTACAGCACTGAGATAAATCAGGCTATGGAACAGTAAGCGTTCTGCAAAGAACTTCAGACCCCTACATATTGCTAAATCCCTTCATTCCTATGGCTCTCAAAGACTAATAATGATTTAATGCACTGTGATCTACTTAGATGGCCACTGGAAAAAGGATTTTGAATTTGTAACTCATGGGGGCTTCTGTAAACAGGCTCGATTTCTTTGACAAGTTTTCATGTGGAGCCAAGAAAAAAATCAACCTGCACCGTCAGACTGTGGCCACGCCCACTCGAATGACATCTCTCGCAGGCCACGCCCCGCGCACCTGTGCGCCAGGTTCTGCTGGAGAGAGCGGAGCTGAGTGCGTTTGTTCCGCGGCTTTTATGATTATTTTTCATTTTTCCTTCATTTTAATGTAGATAAAATGTAACTCGTGTAATTACGTCGTCTAAACCACGCAGAAGAAAGGAGTAAAACACGTATTTTCGTTGGGAGCTAAGTAACATTTTTATTGTAACTCTTTGTTCACAAAATCAAGCGTGTGCATTTATCCAAACTGAAATAGCTTACCTAGATTTGTAAAGTTTTTTTAATCATTATTTTCCAGAGTATTTTTTGTGTTTGCTCTTATATTCGTGGTTAAAAATTCACTTGCAACGAATACTTATTGGTTTCAATTGTCTTAAAATTCTAAATTCTGCTTTTTTGTGTTTTCAGTTTAGTGTCTTCGGGCGGGACATGCTTGGCTCAGCTTCTGTAATTATCCAAGTAAGTATAAATGTTTTATTCACTTCGTTATACGTATCGCTTTGAAATGGTTTCTGCGTTATCTACCCTGGTGAAAACGCCGTTTGCTACTAGGAAACCTTGGTTTAAATTATCTTTAAACAATCGTCTAAATACTTGTGTTTTTGTGTTTCCAGTTTGGTGTCTTCGGGCAGGACATGCTTGGTTTAGCTGCTGCAATTATCAATGTAAGTATAAACCTTTTTATTCGTTTATACGCTTCATTTTTGAAGTACAGTATATAATGTATCTCCCGGAAATTGTTGTTGTAAAAAAAACACACAACCGAGACGATACTAGATTTCTTCAGGTCAGAAATGGTTTTGACCCGACAACACTGTAGGCCTGCTGTTTATAGAAATAATTTTCTGTTAAAACTGCGAAAGCTTTTCGGTTTTTTGGTTTAAAATTTTTAGCTTCCAAATTGCATCACAACAATTAAAACAACTAAGCCTATAAAATTATGAATTAATTCTTCGTGTGTTAACAAAGTTGTTTCAGAAAAGAATTTGCTAATCAAAATCGTAAAAACACATTAGAATGTGCTAGTCTCTAATCGATACACTGTAGCTGTCTTGGGTCTTCGGCATTCAGACTTTAAATGAAACTACTTCAATACCCTGTTGAACTGGTATTTGTTACATCAGGCTAAGCGCTTTATCCCATTGTAAATCTTTTTAAACTGTTTCATCTTCTGAACATGTCAGTAAAAACAAAAGCTCGGTCTAACTTAATTTCAAGATTCTGTTTGTTACAAAGTTAATACTGATTTCTGTTTTGCAGGAAACAAAACGAAATTCCAGTCGCTGCCTCGACTGATAACTCGGAGAAACAGTAACGTGCTGTGTGTTTCTGTATCTTAACTTGTAGTTGTTTGCAAATGTTTTCTTACTCTGTTGACTTGTA